GTGAAAATACCTTTGGTACCGATTCTGAATGTGAGGAGGATTATGTCGAAGAACAAAACTCCAATACCGACACTGATGAATGTTTCAAGTTTACTTGGAAAAAACGGGCATCGTTGGTCTACAGAACAGCCCTCAAGGCGTGGTCGTACAACAGCCGCAAATCTTGTTATACGTTTACCGGGTGGCAAAGGAAATGCCAGGATACTTCAGTCTCCTGAAGAAGCCTGGAAGTTACTATTTAATGAAGAAATGTTAGATATTATCGTTCTTTTTACAAATAAAGAAATCGTTCGCAAACGAGAAAGTATCACAGCGCAAGGTTACACCAAATTGACAAATAAAATAGAAGTTAAAGCCTTCATTGTGTTATTGTTCATATCTGGTGCATTACGCGTTTCTAACTCTAGTGTTGATGAACTTTGGTCCCTACAATTTGGAAATGGAATATTTCGTGCTACGATGTCGCAGCACAGGTTTGCATTTCTAGCTGTATGCCTAAGGTTTGATGATAAAAATACAAGAGCAACAAAAAAAGCAGCGGATAAATTTGCACCCATACGCGAATTATGGGAAATCTTTATAAGCTACTGTACATCATACTACACCCCTTTTCAGCATTGTACTATCGATGAACAGCTCGTACGATTCAGGGGGAAATGCCCATTTAAAATCTATAAGAGTGGGAAGCCCGACAAATATGAAATAAAGATAATGATGATGAATGACTCTAAAACATTTTATATGGTTAACGCTATTCCATATATTGGAAAAGTCCAAACACAGGATAAGTCAGTACCAGCTTTTTACGTTCGGAAATTGTCGGAACCAATACATGGAACCAACAGAAATATAACAGTAGATAATTGATTTACTTCAATACCTCTTGCTGATGAAATGATGAGACAATTCAAACTAGCTATCTTGGGTACACTAAGAAAAAATAAACGAGAAATTCCACCGTCTTTTCTCAGTAAAAAAGAAGTAGGTACATCATTATTTGCATTCGACGAAAATAAAACTATCATCTCATACACTCCAAATCCCAAAAAAGTGGTTGTCTTGCTGTCAACATTACATCATGATAATTCATTAAATGCTGATACAGGAAAACCAAACCTTATACACACCTATAATGAATCAAAAGGAGGTACAGATACGTTCGATCAATTATGCCATTCTTATACTACATCACGAAAATGCAGACGATGGCCACTAAGATTTTTTTTAACATGCTTGATGCAAGTGACATAAATGCAATGGTGCTATTTTCTCTCGCAAATACCCATTGAAAAGAAACTGCATCTAATAATAGAAAATCTTTTCTGAAGTCTTTGGAAATGGCTTTAATTGAACCACTAATGCGAGAGAGACTTCAAATACCTTCTTTACCGAAATCACTCAGGCAATCAATTTGTGGCATTCTCCAAGTTGAAGACCTTCCAACACAACATCCCACAAGTTTAGTGAAGCAAACTAGGTGTTATCACTGCAAAGGAAAAGATAGAAAAACGAAGCATGCATGCTAGGCTTGCCATAAAGCATACTGCATGGAGCATAGAGCTAAACTGTGTTGTGAATGCAGTCACCAAAATGAAAGAAATTGAAATACCTGGCTAAGAATGACTATGAGTTCTATAATCAAAAGGTGTTAGATTTTAGTTAGAAAGACCATTTTGTTGTTATATTAAGGTAAAATATTTTGAATTAGGTTTCTGGTTTTTTAGAAAACGTTTGATAAATATTTTTAAATATTTTTACTATTTTTTTCTTTTGTATTACTACAATTAAGAGAGAGAAAATAAAATGATTGATTTAATGATTCTTGTGTATTCAATAGTGACTAGACAGTCCCTGAAAATCATAAATTATTTACTTTTTTATTTATTTCTTCACAAAAAATCAATGGGTATCTGATACCCATATGTGAGGTGTATGTCAAAAAAATAGGTGTGGTATTCCAGGGTTAATAGTGCCGTTAAAAATGTGACTCCACAGTCGTGGATAAAATGTATTGAGCATGTATTGAAAAAAGAGCAGAATATGTGGAACCTTAAAAACTTCATTAAAATTACCATAAAACCAGTTGTTGTGGATCTAGATGAAGATACTACTGATGAATCTGAAGATGGCATAGACGACTCAGATTACATTATATATAATGTATGTTTTTATTTGAACACGTTTTTTATATTTTATGGAAATACATCATTTCAGTTAAGGTAAACTATTTCTTACTAAGATATATCCAACAAAAAGCGATAGTGCCAGTAAACAACGAAATATATGCATTTAGGGTTATAAATATTTTAATTGGCTGCGGTTTAGTGCTTTCACTGCCTTCTTCAGGTCTGTATTACGGAAACTAAGTGATTTATTTATAAATATATACTTTTATTAAATAATAAGCCGTTTTTTATTTAATGCTCTTACAAAGTCGGTATAAAATATTTTTCTCATTCTGATCCCATATGTCATAAACTTGGAAACAGATATCCATTATAAAATTTTTTGTTTATATTTTTAAAACAAATGTATAAACACCAATAACTTTATTGAACGATTTTGAAGAACAAACTTACCGATATGTGAAATCACAAGGAAAGCTATTTATCGACTGATGAACAAGATGCAACGTGGAAGTCATTGTCATAACATTTATGATTCAACATGCGATTAGACTAGGGGATTCCCAACACATTGTTTTTATAAGGGGCTAGGACTACATACTTTTACTTAATTCTTTAAGTTGATTTTATAAATTGAAGACCTCGGTGCAAGAACTGGGCAAGTCCATTTTTAAACGAAATTAAATTATTGCATTCAGCATAGAAAATTTGAAGTTGCGAATATTTTGGTACGAGAATCGGGTAAATCCAATGAATCCCTATTAATTTAACGTAGCAAAGGATTTATCCGATCATACATTACGGTGCAAGAATCAGGCAAGTCCAAATGATATCCGATTTTAGCACCGAAATGATCGCGTGTAGTGGAAGATATTGGAGTAGGGATAACGCTCACTGATCCGGTGGTACTGGTCTAGATATTTTGTTTTTAGTTGTGAAATTTTGTTAAAAAGAACATGTAATTTTGTGTTATGATAAGAGAGGTAGAAAACGAGTAACAAACGAAAGTGCGTGGCAAAGAAATGTAAGGAAACGGTTAAGCCTGCGGAGAGGAGTATCTGAATTCAGTTAAAAAGGTTGTACCTTAAGGAACACGATGGGAATACGATGCACTTACCGACTTAAATGTTTTAACAAAATTGACGAAACAGAAAGATTCTCTATTCTCTTATCTTTTCACAAATTAGGAAATAAGGAGAAACAAGACTTATATTCGGGTGGATTGATTTCTTTAATACCAGTGCAAAGAAAGCGGCCAAAATCAGGACAATAAATCCAAAATTAAAAGAAGTTACCATTCTCAGTAAAGAAGATGAGTCCATCGAAATATTATGTTTCGACTTCCAGCAGAATTTGACTTTACCCCATGTTTCAACAGGAGAATTGTTTTACAAAACGCAACTTTGGGAATATAAATTTTGTATTCTTTCGACAAAATTGGGCATGTCAACTTTTTACATTTATGATGAGCAGACCGCTAAGAAAGAAAGTAACTAAAGTCCTTTCTTGATCATTATATAAACATACATTTACCTGGTTCAGTAAGTAAGCTATACATTTTTTCGGATAATGCATTTGCACAGAACAAAAATCAAACGTTAGTGAAATATTTGTATACTTTGGTAAATGTAAATAAAAAAATTAGTCAAATACATCACCAGTACCCCGAACCAGGACACAGTTTTCTACCATGTGATAGATCATTTAGCCTCATAGAAAAAAATAAAAGGAAGAAGGAAAGAATATATCCACCGTCAGAATGGATAAAGTTAATTTAACAAGCTTCGAAAAAATTTACTTCCTTGGTATTGCAGACCAAGAAATGAGCCTTAGCTTTTCTGACCATTTTAAACAACTCTTTAAATCAGCCCCCAAAGGACCAAAAAAAAAGTTTGCTATATCAACCTATAGATTAATGAGGTATACAAAAAATTATCAGTTCATCGAATGTTCTGTAGGTTTGGGATTTGTTATTTCCACAAAATTTTTTATGAACTCAAAAGGATATATTATTTCATTCACCATGCCTAATAATAAAGCATACTCAAAGCACCTGGACATAAACCATTAAAAAATTAAAGATTTAAGAGACATAGTACGAAAATATGTACCTTTAAATGACCAAGGTTATTACAACCGCATATTTGAAAATATTACTGATAATGCCGAAGACCCAAACTTTGGAGATGTAAACGAAGATCGTAATGAAGGTAGTGTTAGTGACTCTTCTTATGTTTAAAATAATTATTTGGTTATTATATTTTCATTTCAATGTATCATTTGCAATAAAAAATCCAAAAACAGTATATTGTGCAATTTTTATTTTTAACACGTGAGATTTTTGGAACAAAAAACAGGCAAGTCCATTTTTTCAAAACAAAATTGTTGCGTCTACAATATGAATGAAAAGTAGTGATTGAATAAATAAGGCTTGTCTAATGTTCCTCTAGAAGGATTAATTTAATTAAGTACAATTTATTCACATTTTCTAAAAATATTAAATTTTTTTTCGATTTCCCAACAATTTAGAAAAGTGGAGTTGCCCGGTTCTTGCACCGAGGTCTTCAATTAGAATTTTTTTGTTTTTGTCTGACGTGTATGGGGTATAGTATGGATTACTAATGTAATCCACGCGTCTGTCACGTAACAAAATAGAGCGCGTGTACTGGAGGGTTAAAAGTTTCAATTAAAGATGTTTTTATTAATCAAATACTTACTCGGAACAAGTATATGTAAAAGTAGTTAGAGCAATAACAAAATATTTCTTAAATATTTTTAGAATATATATTTTTTTATTGGAACTATAAACTATTAGAAACGTGTTCTTTAATGACCATAAGCTTTTACGACCAAATATAATAAATATCCACTGACCTACTGCTGTAGCTGCTGCAGCTTCGACGCCATTTTCATGGATGTCAATAAAGGCTTTTTGTACAACAAAGTCCAGTTTAAGCCGTTCCCTATCGGAGATGTACGTAAAATCACTATTGTCTCCGAAAATTTCGTTAACTCCCAACTAAAAAAAATATATAAATATCGTAGAGTCCTATAAAACATATTAAATTTCTCTTTTTTATGGTTTTTAGCATCATAGTTAAAAAATATACAAATGGAATTTACTATTTTTAAAAGGAAATTTTAGTTATAAATATGTTAATTTGACATTTTGGCGTTCCCCCTTTGAAAATCTTTCTCCAAACACCGATGTAAATAAACAGATTAAAAAAAAGTCAATAAATAGATAAAAATAGTTAATTATAGTAAACTAATACAAGTAACAATATAGAACAAGATCAAATGCAAATTGTAACAAAAATATTATTAACTAATTATAACTAGGTAAGCTCTACTTTTCGCATGTGCATTTCTCTGAGTTTCATCATAAGGCATACTTCTTATACGATATACCTTCTCTGTATAATAAACGTCTGTAGCTATGGACGTTTTTCCCTCCTACCGTTCCGTTCTGCCACTGTTACGAACTCAACACTCAGGATATTCATGTTATCTTAACTTACCTAAACCATTTTAGTATTTGCTTTCACTTGGCATAATTCAGTGCGACTACTCGGCTTCTCTCAATATTGTTACGAAAGATTTATCCCCAAATAGAAAAAGTCCATCGACGAAAAAGAAGAAGTAGTTCGAGAACATTCAAGATGACATCGAAAATTCTTGAATCGAACAGATGTTTTTGACAGTTTGGAACAGTTGTATTTTGAATGTTGAAGTTTACAGTTGTCAGTTAGTTAAAAAGTATTGTAATATTGTTGGTTTTGAATAAAGTTCATTTTCAAGAATGTAACAATATATTCACTGTTATAGGTACTTTTTTACTAAATTTCTGCTTCTCTCCTCTTTCTTTTCCTTTAACATAGACATGACTTAGTCTGTTTTTTAATGTGCCTTTAGTAAGTTGTCGTTTCATCATTTTTATAGTCATCCTACTGATCGTCTATCTCTTGCTATTTTTACTAATCTTTTTGTTGTTGTTCGGCTTATATGATCGTTCCATTCTACTCTCCTGTTTCTTACCCAGTGCTTTATGTTCTCCACCTTACGTCTACGTCGTATATCTGTAGTTTTAGCTTTGTCCCTAAGTGTTTTCATCTCTGCCGTTTCTAACATTATTTTTAAATTTTTGTTTTCTCTGCATCAGGTCGTGTTTCTGCGGCGTATGTTACTATTTGCGAGATGACTGTTTTGTTAATTCTGCCTTTCCTAATATTCTTTCAATTTCCCCATATTATTTTATTCAGGTAACATGCGGTTTAGTATGCTCTATTCACTTTATCTTTTGCTTCTGTTTCTAGTTTTCTGTAGCTAGATAATGTGATGCCTAGATATTAAAATTCCATCACTTGTTCTATTATCTGACCTTCCAGCTTCAATTTATATTTTCTTGCGGTTATATAAAATTGTTGCAGCATACGTTGTAAACCGTCTTTACTTTGAGTAAGTAGTATTGCGTCATCTGCATAGCAGATTATTTTAAATTGTATTTCTCCTATTTGTTTTGCTTTTTTAGTTCTAACCTTTTTTAATTAGTTTATCCACAATCAAGTTAAACAATAGAGGACCCAGAGAATCATTTTGTCTTATCCCTTTGCCAGCTTCAATAGGGCCAGCTAGTTCTTCTTTTACTTTTACTTTTATTGTATTGTCTTGGTAGATATTATTTATCGTTTTGATTATTCCTAGAGGTATCTCTCTTGCTTACAATAAGTGGATAATGTTCTTTAATTTGACCTGATAAAATGCTATTTAAAGGGATACGAAAAATAATATACTGACTGATTGGATTCTAATAGTTAATTTTAGTGTTGTGTTTTTTCCTTATTTCATTTATATCCCTTTTTTAAGAAAGGTATTAAGATTTTGATCTTCATTTTTGAGAAATTCTCTTTTATTTTATTATTTTTTGTCAACGTCGAACAAGTGGACAAATATGCATATCTGGGAACAATGATTAGCTCCACAAATGATTACAATCAGGAGACCAAAATAGGAACAAAATAGGCTAGAGCAAATTTTAACAAAATAAGAAGAGTGTGAATTTCTTCACTTTCTGTCTAAACCATGGGGTTTTCTTTTGATATTACGTTATTTTTAAGTTTTTGGCATTCTTAAGTTATTTTGACACAAAGCTATCTTCTCTGTTGCTTACTTAGGCAACTGTTACCTAGCCTGTCCAAGTAGTGGGGGTGGACCCTTTTCACCTATGTATCCAACTGGAAAGGAGTTATCATTCGATATCTCGTACTTTAGTTTTAAGTCCAATACGTTTATTTATATTCTAATGACTAGTATTTTTGCGTTTTCATGGGTCTTTGTATAATATTTTATTCTGTAAATGTTATCTTCTATTCTGAAATCTTAAGTGTTAGTTTTGTTTTGGGTTTGTTTAACAAATAATGATTATAGTAATGATTACAGATACATATTAAGATTGTATAAAAAAAGAATAATGTCTACAACCTACCGACTAAAACATGAGTTTAAAATCAATTTTGGTCTGAATTTTAAATTTGCGCAGGGTTTTCGCAACTCTAGAAGATTCCATTTCTTGCAGCCAAGTATTAGTTGAATTTTTTTAGCAGCTCCTGTTCCATTAATTATTGTCGGATTATACAAATGTCATAGTAACATTTTTGTCTTTAAATCCAAATTTAAAAAATTTAGCTTTAAGTTGCTCATTATAAGCATATTTGGCGATTGATTCGATATACATGGTGAGTATTTTTTTTGGATTCAAATTTAAGCTATGAAATCTTTTTTTATAAAACAATTCCATTTAAAAATTTTTCCTTATAAAAGGTATATTACAAAAAAAAACTCTATCGCGCTTCACCATAGAACGTTTCAATAATATCTATTCCATCATCAGTGATATCTGGATGTAGATGTTTGAAGCCACTATAAATAATATGTACCTAAGTAAAAACCCTTTAAATATAAAGAAAAAGACAGTTAAGATTTGATTTCACGTATAGTGCGTCAATGTAGCCGCTTATACGTAGGCGTCATCAGAACGGCAATTCATAGTAGCTCTGAACGTGAAAATAAATCTCTTCTGTCTTAGGAAGCAACTCTAATATGGCTTCGAATGGACGCAAATAGCGACATCTGATATTAAAATCCGTAAACTAATTTTTGAAACCAAATTAAGATTTTTGCTTTAATCTGTGCCTTCTAAGATTTGCAAGGCAAAACAGACGTTGATAAAGATGTAATTAGAGACATGGGGAAACTAGCATTTCCATTCCACGACATATCTCCACAACTAAACAAAAATCCTTAGCGAATAGGTTTCTTGTACTCGTACAGATAGCTAGAAGAACGGGCATAATGGAACTATTGGTAGTAGAAGGAAAGGTAGAAGGCCGAAGACCAAGAGGAAGATCTTCAATACGATGGGTAGACCAAATGAAGAGTTTGGTGGGAAAATCTCTACGTGAAGCCGTCCATATGGCACAAGATCGCAGTCAATGGAGACAGCAGATCAACAATATTTAGGGTGTCACTACGCCCTGACAAGGGCTAAAGGATTGAGGAGGAGGAGACTCGTACAGAGTAATCGGATTAAAAAGAAAAAGACAGTTAAGATTTGAGTTCATGTATAGTGCGTCTATGTATCCGCTTATAGAAGAACGGCAGTACAAGAAACCAATTGGCTAAGGATTTTTGCATAGTTAAGAAGATATGTCGTGGAATGCAAATTTTAGATTCCACATGTCTTTAATAACTTTATAATTATCTTAATTAACGTCTGTTTTGCCTTGCAATTCTTAGAAGGCACAGATTAAAGCAAAAATCTGAATTTGGTTTCGAAAATTAGTGTACGGATTTTAATATCAGATGTCCCTTTTTGCATTAATTCGCAGCAATATTAGAGTTGCTTCCTAAGACAAAATATATTTATTTTCACGTTTAGACCTACTATGAATTGCCGTTTTGATGAAGCCTATTAGGCCGAACTACATATAAGCGAATACATAGACGCCTCCTCCTCCTCAGTCCTAATCCCTTTTGTGATGTGGTGACACCATCAAGCCTTCAAAATTTTTTTACTATTTCCTTTCATCCTTCTCTGTCCTGAGCTAGTTGTTCGGCTTCATGTAACCCTTGGTTAATTAACATTTTCGTTTGATCTACCCAGCGGCTTAGAGATCTTCCCTTAGGTCTCTTTCCTTAAACTCCACCCTCGACTATCAGTTTTTCCATCGTGCCTGTTCTTCTAGCAATATGTCCAAAATACTGCAAATAACTATCCTTTACTTTAAGTTGTTCTAATATCGATACGTTAGTGCTATGATCAATCCAGGATATTCTCAACACGCGGCGGTATACCCACATTTCTAAAGCGTCCAGTTTATTTTATCCGCTTTCTTTAAGGTCCACGTTTCGGATGCCTATGTGGCTATGGGAAAAATGAGCGCCCTTGCCAGCCTTAGTTTTGTCTGTATTGTTATGCTCGAATTTTTCTAAATTGCTATCAGTTTCATCATGGCTGTCCTAGCAATAGTCAACCTTCTACGTATTTCTCTGTCACACCCTCTGTCATTTGTTATTAGGGACCCCAAGTATATGAAAGATTTACTACTTCAAAGCACCCAATTTCTTTAATGTGTTAAAGATTATTCCAAGCTCTGTCTACTATCATGATCTTTGTCTTACTCCTATTTAGCTTTAGTCCATCTGTTTTGCTTTTTTCCTCCAAACATCTCATTATGTCTTCCATTTTGTCCTGATTTGCCGCGATTATTAAAGTATCATCAGCATATCGCAAGTTATTGATTTTTTGACCTCCTACTGATATTCCGCCCTTCCTTTCGTCTAGTACCTTTCGCAGAATCTGTTCGCTGTAGATATTAAACAGAGTTGGCGAGATTATGCATCCCTGCCTAACACCTGCCACTGTTCTGAAATGTTCAGAATGGGTGTTGTTTATTTTTACTGTGCACTTATTATTTTCATATATACTTCTAATTAGTTGAATTAAGTGGAGGGGTGTTC